TGAGACAAAAACAAACACAAACCACCATGTTCATCTAAAGGCCACTACAGTAGGTGCTGGTGTAATAGTGTGATGTTGCTGCGCTGTGGTGTGGACAGGACCCTGTACATTTCAGTTGGATATATTGTAACACACGAGGGAAACTGCGAATGTTTTGTTTCTCTACAATTACAGAACTATTGCTGCTGTTATAGCTGCTGGTGAATAAATTGCTCCCAAGATAATCCTGAGACACGTGTCATGGCTTTCTACATAAAACGACGCAGAGTCAGACGCACTACACTGGGTCCATTTTGGCACTGGTCTGTAATGCAATTGTCGTAACTAATATAAACAGTTGGTGCTCTTTCTATCTGCATACACCACTGCTTGGATTCCCTCCCTCCATCTCCAGCTCCCCATAGATTTAGTTTTTTTCAGTATGTCATGTCAATCAAAGGCTCTTCCAGGGGTTTGTGGGCTCAGGGACAGTCTGCGTCAACCTTACTAAAACGTGTTCCAGGGCATGACATTAGCAGAGCCAAACCACCAATTTCTTTTTTATTTATTTATTTTTAATTTTTAGAATAAACCATCCAACTCTTGACTTAAGGTTGTGGTATGTGATTCTGGAGCAATCCAACACCATGACTAATACTAAAATATAGAGCGAGCAACAACACAGCAAGTAATGTAACTAACGCTTACTGGGGTTGTGGGTTAGCAAACTTTCGCTACAGTTGCCGCTGCGAAGCTAACATGCAGAGAGGACGAGACGGTCCCAGAGCCAGCACACCAGCTCCTGACAGCGATACTTAACAACTCTCCTGCTACTACGGCTGACATCATAACAACAGCATGTCTTGGTGAACTTGAAAGTAAGCTGAATGTCTGCGGGCAAGTCATTTAACGTTACCTGACACACAAATTATAGCTGGAATAGTGCTGTGTCTTTACTATTTACAGAGCCAGATTTTTTTATCAGCGCACATACTGAACGGACAGGTAGCAGACCGTGAGGAGATACTGTATTCACTGAATTTGACAGAAAGACGTGGATTGGATTAGAATCGCAGGTGTCCTGACTGACCTGTATAAATACGTCCAAGAACCAATGACATGCAACATCTGCTTAGTTTATATTTTTCTACAAGTGTCACACATTTTGCGAAAGTGTGTTTTTTTTCTCCCTTCTTCAGTTGTTTCTGTTCAGTTCGACTCTTACCACAGTACTTCAGTGCAGGAGGAAGGGTCTTTAACTGTTCCTGCACACTGTACTCTATCCCCCCTCTGCATCTCTCATCTCAACATCTCAGGAGCAGGGTACAAACACTGGGGTGACTGGGGGTTAAGCACTTTTATGTCTCTGTCTCAGGGAACACTCCCAAGGCACAAGTACCACTTCAACAAAGGTATAACGGTCTTTGCGGTGGTGAGTCTTCATGTGCAGGCACCTTGTATTTTTGTGTTTGCTGTGTTTGCAAACATATACTCAACTGCCCTGTGTTGCAAAGACGCAGCTCTAATGTGCCTCTGGAGAATTCATGTGTGTGTATATATGCATGTCCAGGAATACGTCCACTTGTATCAATTCAAGTGTTGGCAGGTGTATGCTTGTGAGTCTTTCAAAGAGTTCTTTTGATGCATGATGTAGTAATTGTGTGTCTGTGATTACAGACATGTGCGCACACACACAACCACACACACACACACATAACCACACACACTGAGGTGAATAGTACTCTACAGCATCATTGTCCAGGCTCCATTGTGTCTGGCTAAATGAGACAGAGCGGTAGATGGGACGCTTTAGTGATCTGCTAACAATACAGCACTGTATAACACAATACTATTAGGACACGCACTGGCACTCACTCAGCGCTCTGCAGACACCCCATTGTAAATCCTATGAATAATAATTTAAGAGTGAATAAAGTTTGGGCCATTCACTCGGCAAAGCCATTGTTGTTCTTGCAGAATTTAAAGCCAAAAATTGCTTTGCAATACAGCCACGGCAGTAAATCTTAACGCTGCAAATTGACAGTGCAATTATATAGTGCTGTGTAAAAGTAAGGCTGATAATTACAGTGTGTGTGTGTGTGCGCATGTGTGTGGAATGGGATGGATAGGAGTGTGATGGAGGGATGAGATCTCGGTCGTGGTGGAGCAGGAAAGGTGGCGGAGAGAAAAAGAGAGGCTCACTCTTGTTATCATGGTTTAATTAACGCTAATCCCAAGGGCAGAGCCGTGCGTATGTGCGCTCTGCCGCACTGCCCCCGGCTGTGTCCACATATGGGTGTGGAATGATTATCATCATTTGTATCTACAGTAAAACTACACATGTAGGCTACATTAAATAATTTTTATTAACATAAAGTGCAGAGACAGCAGAGACTCTAATATTGTGTATGTGTGGGTGAAGTGAGATAATGAGTGGTGAATGACAGGCTGTAATTATTTGGTCAGTGTGATGAATTCTTTTCCTTCAGGTCAGAGGAAACGCTGGCGCTGAGCACTCGTGTGATTGGATTTTTACACTGGAGATATGGAAATGTAAATAGATTCATGGAGATGTTTGCTCAGTCTTTACTCTCCATTAAAACGATAATAACTACAAGACAAATTTGGACTCTGTGTTTCCACATAAAAACTCACTAACCAAACCAGATTCATTCACATCACTGCAGTGAGATTGTCAAGGTAGATTTTGCATTCATGCTGTCCTGACATTGTTCACAAAAATGATTCATATGAGCCTTTTGTGATCTGACGCCTTAATGCTTACAAGACATCAGTACCACTCTTATGTTTGTGTGTTAAGTAGGCTGCAGCTCCAGTGGTAGCTAGCTTAGCATAAAGACCACAAGCCTTGGGAAGCCGCTTGTGAACATGTGCACAATTTACAGCTAATTAACTTAAGACAGCGGAGCAGCAGAACACGTCCTGTTCTTTCAGCGAGGGCTCTGTGAGAAACGTCACCATCAGGCTAAGCCAATCAGAGGCAGAGGAGTGTCATTCTCTTGCCGTAGTTGATTAGTATATTCGCGTACCAAAGTTGTTATGACGGTCGTAGTTTGGTGAGGTTTATGCAACAAAACTATTTGGTTAGGTTTAGGAAAAGATTGTGGTTTGGGTCAAAATAAGAACATTACATAAGTCACGTACAAAACGTTACTTAACATAAAACTAAATATGTCAGCTTTAACTTTCTTTCAAAACAGACTCCAAACGTTTGTCTCCTGAGAGAAAGACTTGACACACGGACTTTGTCGTTCTTTTTACTGCTTCACCTGATTTCTTCCGCCCCACTAGAGGTCGCGGCCTAAGAGAAAACTAAAATATGGCTCGTAATAAGTTGCTGCATAATCAACCTATACGACCGCTTTTCTGCTGAGGATGGGCTGAGCTTGCCTGGCTTTGAAATCAAAATGCGGCGACATTGAGGTAGATGGAAATACATTAGTGGTAATTATCAAAATGCACATTTCTAAGTAAATTTGAACCATTTCAGTCACAAAAGATTCGAGCATTTGTATGGAATAATTCTAATAAATACAGCAAAAGTTGCAACATTATGACATCTGCCTGATGGAGCAAACATTACGGGTATTTCAGAAAGCAAAAGTAATAACAGAAAAAAAAAAGAGACCATCATAGAGGGCTCAAGACCATTATTAAGATAACAATTAAAAGATGACAGAGAGTCTATTCCTCTTTGTAGGACTATAGACATAGACAGAGAGACTGTAGATATAAACTGCTGCATTTCCTGATGTCTCAGACTTTCATTTTGAGACTACTGGGTTCCTTCAACTCTGATTCCATCTAATCTGGCGCTTTTCAGAACAGTTTTATTCAACAAGACTCTGCAATACTGCTCTGTGATTTATCTCAGGAATGAACAATCAAGCAAAGTAGCACAGGCGCTCCTGTGTGGAGGAGTAACAGTCAGAATATTAAATTGGAAAGATCAGATTTCATTTTATGGTAAATTACTCCATGAAAAAACAAAAGCTCGATAGAAAAACTGTCGGATCTCGTCAGGTAAACTCATAGAAAAAAACAGCACAGCGTATTGTTTCCTGTTTGTCTCTGCTCTGATGAAAGCCAGCAGGCCAAATCAGGCATGCTGACGTTGACTGTTCTGTAATCAATGAACTGATCAATAAAATCAGAAAGGAGCCATTTCACTTTCACCACCTTTTCCTCAACAGTCCAGACCAGAGTAAGGGCCAAGGTGCTGAAATACTTTATATGTTTATACAGTTTTTACCTCCAGATGTAACATGAATTCCCAGTTCTACTCAGTCAAAAAACATTTTGTAAACAATACAAAAACAATACAACCCTGCTATGTTAGATAACATTCAGCAAAGAGTAACAAAGACACAGGAGGTAACATGTGACCTATAGGTCATATACTGTAATAAAAGTATTTTATTTCTGTACCAGCAATATATTTAGTCTTAGAACAAAAGGCGCAAGTAAATAGATAACTTATTATGCCTTATTTCAGGTTTAGATTAATTAATTCCAGAATTTCCATTCCATAACGTTTTGGGTCTCAACATCTTTCATTAGATGCTCCCTACCTGATAAATGCCTACATTCATACTCCATGTCTCAAGTTTGTAACACAGGCTGCTCCCAGTACTGATTTTCATGTATAAAATAGTTGGAAAACAAGACAGATAACTAAAGCCTTACTAGTGACCCTGAGTCTGTATTCACAAAGTAGTTCATTGGTGGAGCCTTACCAGCTGTGGGGCTAAATATGTTGTGTTTGTTATGTATGTAAGGAGGAACTGCTCAGGAATCAGGCTCTGGAGACCTTTCCAGTGTGACTTATTAGTGTGATGGAAAATATGCGCTTTTACGTTTGTCCCATTTTTAAATCTTTTCTTTTAAATCTCATTAAATACATTCTGGTCATTCTGGTGGAAACATTTACAAAAATGAATCTGCGATCAGTTTTACTGACACAATAACAACTTTTATATCTCATTAGTGTTGTTCCTTACCTGCCATGTCGGTGGCGAAGGGCCGGTCCGGTCTCCAGCCAGTGTACCAGCCCACAACTTTACCCCCGGACACCAGTGGGCGCTCATATGCTCTGCCACCTACGAATCCCACAGGCCAAATAGACACACCTCGAGTACTACGCATCTGCAATAACGAAGAAGGAAATGGGTTTGTTCAGTCATTACATACAGTGCACAACTGCATTCACTCAAGCTGAACACATACACACTCATCAACAGTTCAAGCGTAAGCTTAAACACATATTGGAGGAATTCATTTAATGCTTAAGGCGTAAACGTCCAGCAGACTGGGAATTTTTAGTCTCCTGTGTGAGGAATTGAAACCTGACCAAAGCCAGTTGACAGTTGTGTTATTTAAAAACAGCCGGCATAGGCAGATTTGCTTAAAATCTGCACACTCTACTCTATGGGACTGATTAAAAGCATGTTTGGATGTTGTAACAACAGCTGTGACGCCATCTAACGCCAGACTATTTGCTGATCCACATTCAGTTTTCTTGTCAGTTGTAAGAACAAACCACACATCATTTCTGATCCTACAGGCCATGTCCACTCTGGATGGATGCAATTGGAAGTGGAAAACCCCAGAAAGTCAGTGAATGTGCACGTCGATTCTAAAATGAATTACTTGTGTGTCAGTTTGCATGAGTGATTAGAGATGTTTAATTTCATCTGAAACGTGAGTGAGAGCAGCATGCAGGGACTCAGTGGCTAACTGAATAGAAGACTAAATGAAACTGTGCTGGGCAGAACTGTCTCCCAGTTTCACAGTGAATGAATTTGCACACAGCCGGAAGCAGTGCGACGAGAAATGAGACGGAGAGAAAGTAAGATAAAAGACAGAGAGAGAGAGAGAGAGAGAGAGAGAGAGAGAGAGAGAGAGTGGACCCTGTGAGGAGGGTTTGAGTTTCAGTGTTGGAGTATGAGACATCTGTATCTTGGCTTTGTGTGGATGTGTGTATATATATATATATATAGTGTGTGTGTGATTCTATTTTCCAACCCCGGTCACCCTGAAGCATGTTCATTCACACACACTGCTCCTCATAGCTCACCAAAACAGCCGCCAGTCAGTGGCTCATGACAAAACAACAGAACAAAACCACTGCACTGCATCACTGCACCCAGGCATCACACTGAGCTCTAGCCTTTAAAGCCACGGCAAACCAAGTGTATGTATAGCGCGATATACGGACAGGATTTACAGTTCTATTACAAACTTCCAAGCAATTATGGACAGAATAGCAGAGTACACAACAAAAACAATCCTAAAGAGTTCATGTTAACTAAAATTAATTTTTTGGTGAATACTACTGGAGAAATGTGACATTTGAGCCATGTTTTTCTAGCTTGATAAATGTAAGCAAAAACCAATGACAGCCCAGTGAGTGTCCAATCAGGTGAAAAGAGGGTCGGTGTTGATGTATTAGTGATGGCGGGAACTGTCAGTCTGCCATTGACAGCCTAATTAAAGGACGCTCAAGCGAAGTGCATATTGAAGCGCCTTGCCAGAGCTCAATCACAGAAGCGAGACCGCAGACGGAGAGTAGACGGTAGAAACCCTGAACACTGTCAGCACTGAGTTTATGAGAGATACAGCCTTTCAGTCATGGACCTTCATGAGGCATCAAATTCACAATGTGAAACAACACAACATTGTGCTTAAGCCACAGGTTGAAACAACCAATCAAAAAGCAGTACCAAATCTCAAACCACACGAGACAAATCTCAAACACCTGAGACGGTTATTACATCAACAACATGTTGTCGTGAGATTTGTTCCCCTGTTGTTTACCATCGTGAATTTGATGTTTGGTCCATGACTGAACGCTGTCTCTGATAAACTCAGTGCTGACAGTGACTTCACGGTTTCTCCTACACACCTGTCCACCAGATGTGCGTTAGACAACAGTTAGTTTAAGTAGGTGGCTTGTTGAAATGATCAGCAGTAGTACTGAACCCAGGATGTACAAAACGAGAAAATTACATCACAAAAATAACTTCACGAAATGTTGCTACTTATGGAACCAAATCTCAAATGAAGGATTCCTCGCCTATCATAGGTCCTTGTTTGATTCTCTACATTGTGGTGAGTATTGAAATGTTAATTACTCATATAAAATGTTACAGAAAAAATATACCAGATCGCTGTGTTGTTGTCAAAGTAGCAGGACTGTTTTCACTCCTGAAGCATTACATTTCCATTACATTTATTCATTTAGCTGATGCTTTTATCCAAAGCAACTTACAATTGCTATACATGTCAGAGGTCGCACGCCTCTGGAGCAACTAGGGGTTAAGTGTCTTGCTCAGGGACACATTGGTGGATGGGTCACAGTGGGGGCATTGCGCCATCACCCCCCATTAACATTAACGCCAAATAACTGATCGGCCACAGCAAAATCACTCTAATTTATACATGTGGTAATGTGACATGTTCTTGGCTAATACTCCGCCAAAGTTTGAGTTTATATCTGCTAAGATGATTTTTCAGACAAATTTTAGGCATTGATTATTTATTTATTATGTTTCTCACATTCTTTCATAATACAGTATGTACATTTCATGAAAAGTATTAGATGTGTCACAACGGTCTGTCTACAGTAATCTATGGCTACATTCTTGCTAACTACATACTTGCTAACCCTCCCAATTTTCACAGAAGACTCTCGTATTTTTTGCTTGTTACCTCCCGGGGGTCACATTTCTACTGATTTATGAACATTTTTCACAACTTTCCATTACATTCATTACTGTTTCTGGCGCTGTGCAATGCATACGCTCCACAACTCTCTCTCTCTGCTGCTTATGCTCGGACACGTAGCATGTGCGTGACTCAGAAGAGAGCTTGTGATCCGGTGAATTTCAGGTGGAAGAAAGGGAAGCAACATGTCCATGTCTAATATCAGCTTTTGTGGAGCCTTTTCATTCACCGTGGCTCCGTCTAGCGTACAATTGTGACAACGGTCGCTCTAGAGTGACATCACATTTGCATGAATTCCGCAGTCTGAATATAGCGTGTCTCATATCAAGTGTCTCTGAGAACAAAAAATGATTTTGATACGAAATGAAATGATAGATATTGACACATAATATGTAATATTTCTTCCACGCTAGTTTTACAGTCCATTATAGATATATATAACTATTAACTACAAAATCTGTCAGTTGTTTATACTGAAGGTACACTCCAGCACGCATGGAGCTAATAGGAGTTAAACCAGCAAATGTAAAAGCTTTCATGAGCTGGCTGAATCCCTGTTGTGTTAAAACAATGAGATAAAGAACAGGAAATTGACATTTATTTATATCTCACTGTCAGAGATGATAACTGCAACTTATTTATCTTCCAATAAATAACATGACGCGCAGCGACTTTATCTTGGATCCTACTGTATGAGGAGAAGCGGATAAAATGAACGCGTTGACCTCATTTCCACCTCAAGAAGAACGGTGAGCATCTTCCTTCCCTTTCATTTCTCTTCTTCTTTCCATCTCTTTTGCCTCTCACCCTAACACCGCTCTCTCCTGCCAGGGCCCCTGAGCGATGCCAGCAGCTTTGAAGCCCTTTCCCTGTTAATACTGTGGCCCCTTGAGTTTGCCTGTGACGCTAAAACCCTTCCCCCCCTCGTTTCTCTTTTGCTGCTGTCTGCCTTTTTCTCTCAGGTCATTTTTCAAACACTCCGGCTCCTCTGCTTTGTAAAAACACAGATGAAAAGAGAATGAGAGAAAGAAGAAGAAAGAGAGGCTGACTCCGTGTTGCTCGTTCCCAGATCATTCCTGGAGTACGATCGTTATTTCGGCTTAGCAGTTAAGTCCTAGTTTGACTGCTAATGATCTCCTGGTTTGAATGCTGCACTCAAAGCTCAGTACAGTTTCACACATTAGTAGAGAGCAGAACTGGAAACAGGGTCCAAACATATTCAGAAACGCTGGCTGAATTTACATGGGGCACTTTGAAGACCCACTTTTAGATTTTTATTCTGCTGAGATTAAATCTGGCTCTTGCACCAAATGCTCCGTAAGTGTAGAGTCGGGTGATAATTCTCTGTGGGTTTATCACTACAAGCAACTTCTTTTACATTACATAATCATTTAACCAATTGTTTTTTGTTTTTATTCGATAAATGATTTGTGAAACGTCTAATTAGGTGTTACAGGATTTTGCCTCAAATTGATTCAAAAACTGTTTTTGGTGGTTTAGAACAAATCAGATTCACACTGGCTGCTGTTTTTCCGGTCTGAAAATCAAAAGCAAAGACCAATGACAACTCAGCGAGTTGTTTGAATCAGATGCAGGAAGGTTCATGCCATGATGCCAATAATCCACTGTATAGCCTTGTTAAAATGACACCTGCCTCAAACAAATGCTTGTTGAGCTTCTCCAGATTGCATTAAATGAGTAGGATGAAAACTGTGGGCTGGCAGTGCCAGGCTACATCAACAGCACATTTTACTGCTTACCCTCTTGTTGTCTTTATAGCTTTCATTTATCCATTATAACTGGACTGTGGCCAGGCGATGCAGCTATCTGTGTATAAAGTGAGTCTGTCTATCTAGGGTGGCAGTGTCATTAGACTCAAAAGCATACTCAGGCCCGTCCAGATCTTCTGGGTCTGAGGATAGAAGCACATTACAATGACAAGTTAATATTTGCTCCAGCACACAGAGGAAGCATTTGACAGACAGTAATGATCAGGGGGTGTCCAAGTTCAGTGTCAGTTTAATCAAGCACAACCTTTTAGCAACATGATATCATAATATAAGTTATATTAAACCATCTTTGTAGACAGTTTTGATCTGATGTCAGAAAGATACTGTGTTGAGGTCCTGATTCAAGTAGCAGCCGACTACAGATGTCTCAATTTTCATTTTCAACATTGGTGCAGGCCGTCTTATCAACCACAGCTCAATGTCAAAATGTTTCCTGGGAGCCAAACAAAGCCGTGGGGTGACAATGTTTCAGCAGATGGTGCATTATTCTGCTCGGTGGCGACTGCTTTAGCACATGCTGGTTTTCGTGCCACCATCTGTAGATTACTGCTGGCACAGGAAAAGTTTGCAACACAACTTTCTAGTGATACCTTTACTCAAACAGGGAAGGTTGGTTGGGCATACAGTACG